AGCCACCAGGTCTGAGACTCAAATTGTGGTTGACTATGTGGGAGTCCAGCGACACAACCATTATGCCACCTGTTTGTCCCTAAAATAAATAAGTCTAAAGAAAAAGATACTTTGGATATTTATACGCATGTCCTTTTATAAACAGGTATTTTCTTTGCCCTTTCTATAGAAATGCTGGGTTGGGGTAGGCTACTTACTTGAAGGAGTTTTTTTGGGTTATAATGAATAGATATTAATACTCAGATTTTTAAAACACATAACTCATTGATGTTTTTGTAAATGTACAGAGTTGTGTAACCACCACAATCCAATTTTAAACATCCAATCACTCAAGAAAACTCCCTTTAACTTTACTCTAATGGCTACAATTGTTGTGGTAAAAATATTTACTACAAAATGTAGCCTTTTAATAAACCTATAGGAAAGCATACATAAGTGTACCATACAATATTGCCAATGTGGAACAGCACTGTACAACCTAGGATCTAATTATGTTTAAGAACTGGAAATAAACAAACCTTGAATAGTAGTTCCCCATTAACGTCTTCTTTAGTCTATGGCCACCACCATTAGACTCTTCTTCTGTTTAGAGGATTCATGTAAGTGGATTCATGGGGTAGTTTCCATTTCCAACTGATTTTTACTTAGCATAATGTCCTTACGGTTCATTTATGTTGACAAGATTTCTTAATTTATTTTTATTAATTCATTTTATTATAAAAATAATACATTTTGATCTCTGTGTACAATGTGAAAAGATTCAATCAAGCACTAAATGAAATATGCCAGGCACAGAAAGACAAGTTCTACACAATGTCTTTTATGTGAAATGTCCATACCATACTGTCTTGTTTATTGTAGCTTTGTAGTATATTTCGAAGCACAGCAATGTGACAAAGGCAGCTCTGTTCATTTTGCTAAAGCATGTTTCAGCTATTCAGAATATCTTGTGATTTTATACAAATTTTATGACCGTTTTTTTCTATTTTTATGAAGAAAGTCGTTGGTATTATGATAGGAATTATGTTGACTCTATAGATTGCTTTGGCTAATATTTGTATTTTAACAATGGTAATTATTTCAATCCACAAACACAACATGTCTTTATGTATTTTTGTGTCTTGAGTTTCTTTCATAATTGTTTTACAGCTTTTACTGTAGAAAAAAAAATTTTTTTCTAAGGTTTTTACCATAGGGCACATGTGCTCACTGGAAAGAGATAGACAGAGACATGAGAGGGACAGTAAGAAATCTCTCCCCAGGGGAGATGGCCAAGCTGCCATCTTTTTTCCCCCATTTTCCTCCTGGGATTTTGAACAAACACACACACATATGCCTGGTGTGATTTTTAAGCTGCCAGGTCTGGGGCTTGAGATGTGGTGGTCCATGTAGGAGTCCAGCACCTTAACCACTATGCCACTTGCTGGCCCCAATCTTTTATCTTTTTGCATAAATTTATTACTCACTATTTTCATTTGTTTGTTTTATAGCTGGTATAAACAATATGGCTTTTCTGTTTTTTTTTTTTTCTTCAGCTTGTTTGTTATTGGTGTATAGAAACACTACTGATTTTCTATGTTGATTTCTATCTATCCATTTTACTGAATCATTCATATGTTCTTACCATTTTTGTAGTGAAAAAAGTATTTTTTTTTCCCAAGAGAAATTGGTACTTCTGATAGGATATGTGTGTATGTGTGTGTTATTGTCTCTCTCCTTTCAGCATGAGGTCCCTGCAACTTTGACAGATTCTTACTTTCGTAAGAGCCTACCCCAGCTTCTAGTAATTAACTAGAATTATGGGTATGATCTGGCCTGTCTAAATTGGCCCAGGAACTGAACCTGGGTCTGCCATGAGACCCCAGACCTAACTCTTGTCTGTGTGAGAATGGCATGTTGAAAGCTCTGATACCTGTGTCTGGAAGCAGGAGGCAGTGCACGCAACACAGGTCTTCTCCCAGGTTCTGAACTAGGTCCACAGAACATGCCCACAGACAGGACAACATGCCATAGGCAGGACAAAAAGCAGCAGCTGTGACGTGCTTCTGAACCCAGAAAAGATGCCTTAACCAGCACTCTGACCACAGCAGTGCTCTTGAACATCCTCTTCCAGATATCCACAAGGGTCTTTCATCCTGGCTGTCATTTTATTGCAGAGGAGACTAGATGTGCTTGGGTTGGATAGGCCATGGATGAGGGCAGCCAGGAATGGCACCTCAATTCTTGGGACAGACTTGGCCCAAGCTCTGCCTCTGGGTCCAGGACTTCCTGGTTACCAGTAACCTCCTGGCTTCACGGGTGTGGCATGCCCTGTTTGTTCCTGCAGACCCACATTGCCACAGCCCTTTACCCCTTCCCTTTCGTAGAGCTAAAGCACAGCCCCGCCTGTAGGTCCAATCATGGAGGAGCGCGAAAGCCCACACTGCAGCTCTGATCATGCTCCCTTTGCCACCAACTGTCTGACAGGGCTGGTAATGGGGCATCGGAAACACCCTGCATCATGCTGTTGCCTGAATGGAGATGAGAAACCTGCAGCACCTAGGTCTTTCTGGAAACTCCTATCAAACCACCCCCTTCCTGAAATCCACACCGTTTCAGAAACCCAGAGAGAGCAGACTTTGCTCTGTGAAGTGGGGCAGGACTGGTGCCCATTTCCGTAAGACTGAAAATCTCAGGCACTCAGTACATATCGTACCACAATCCCTTGATATCCCACAAGCGTGTACCAATTTATCTACCAAAACGAACAGCATGTAGCGAGGGCTCCAGGCTGACCCAGTTTAACTTCCCCAGGAACCCAAGCTTCCATATACACTCCAAAAATACTACCTGAAAGAACCCCCTATGGGATTAAAAAGGGAAAAAGAAAAGCTTTTCTTGATGAAACGGCTCTGGTGAAGAAGTCAGAATCCTCATAAAAAGTGATCACACATGGGTTGAACCAGGAAAAGATAAAATTATCCTGGAGAGGGCTGGCAGATGACAGGATCCAGGAAGTGACAGACGACCTCTCTGGGAAAGTTTTTAGCTCCACTCTTTGCTGGTTCCTGGCAGAGGGACCTATTCGCTAGTAGGAAACGTGGGTGAGAGATTGTTTCTCTGTGTTCAGCATCAGGTCCTGGTGACTTGACAGCACGCTGCAGTTTCTTCAGACGGAGGTGATGAGCAATGCCGAGTGCCTGAGGCCTCCTTGTGTTGCGCTTCCTTGGGGTCAGTGTGCAAATGTGGACCGTGCGATGGGGTCCATGTGTGGGTTCTCTGATACCACTGGACATCTCATTTCCCAGTTTCTGGGGTGTCCCTGAGTCCTCACTGTGCTTCTGCAGGCAGTGCAAATCACAAGCTGATCTTAGGCTGAACCAAGAGAGGCCTCTCTTCCTAACAGAGACCAATCCCTAATCAAATTTGTATGTCAATTCCAGCTTCCCAGAAATTTTTAGATGCGCTTGTATGACACGTTAAAACATCTGGTGGCTTAATGAAAGTTCACAAGAAGGAGGTCACAGGGAGTAAAGATAGTCAGGAAGGGCTTCTTGAGAGAGAACAAAGTCTCTTGATGGATGGGGGTAATTTCCAGGGGGCAGTGGTGAGTATTTGAAGGACACATAGAAACACCCAAAGGTATGTAGGCACTGGTCCAGCTGGAATAGAGGGTTCTTGCTGGTACAGAAAGAGAAAGGGACAAGCTAGCTTGAGACAAAAATATGAAATATTAGGTCACCAGAATAGCCATGACATATTCTGTGCTTTTCTATGCAAAAATGCATCATGATTTTTCCAATGACCCAATACTTTGAACTCCAAGTTACAGGTAATAATTCAGAAAATAATATAGAGGTATTGGGTAACTCTTAATAGTCAAAAGTCAGAGACTTGATCATAAGTAAATTTATAATATTCTATCAACTAATCAAAAATTCGCTCCATAACCATATCAACGATCTTAGATTTTACTGTACATGCTTCATGGAAGATGGAAGGTGTATTTGCTTCAATTCATGAATTTAATAACATAACTTTATTAAGTGTTTATACCTCAAAAGCTTTGTCAAGAAGGTTCTGCTCCCTTAACTGGTTTCCTTTTGTGAAAAAAAGCTCAGATACGACTTTTGGGTCCTTTGGCTTCAGCTGGAGAGCCTTGTCTATAGCATCAAGTGCCTGCAGAGGTTGAAAATGAAGATAAACACAGATTAGGTAGAGAACAACTCACTTTTTAAAAAAATAATCTTTTAAACTTTATTTATTTACTTACTATTATCATCATCATCATCATTATTATTTAATTTGACCAGAGAGGGACAGAGTAAGAGAGAGAGAGGGAAAGTGAGAAAGCAAGCCACCAGGTCTGGGACTCAAACTGCAGTCAGCCACTTGGGAGTCCAGCACTCTTAACCACCACACCACTTGTGGGCCCCAAGAACAACGAACTTAAATGATAACATTTGGTTTTTTTTGTTCCTATGTATTAGCTGGTGTGGTATATGTCAATCAGAAATATTTTCTTCATTCTGATTTTCTCACTGAAAATTCGTGAGAGACAAAATAATGTTCCTCCACTCCAGGTTCCCCATTTACAGGTGAATGACAAGAACGAGTTCCTGATCACAGTTCAGGGAGGTCATGTGAAAGATATGGTCGAAGGAAAACAAGCTTGGGGGGTCACCTGTTTTCCCTGAGCACATGTGCACCTGGACCACATCTATACCACATCAACCGCCTCCTCTTGGACCCGAGGCCAACTCTGTCCCCCATACCCACTGCCCCCTGTAGCCAGACACTCATTCAAAGCAAAAGTCTGACCATGCTGCTCTCTTTAAAACCCCAAAGCTTCTTACAAATCAAGGCACTGAATGTTTCTCCTGGCCTCAAAGGGTATAGTCCCAGCAACCTGTGTTTGCATCTCACACTGCGTCCTTGTTCCTTACGCCATTCCTCAGACAGGCCCACGGCAGTGGCAACGTACCACTGCGCTGTTCCCCTGCCCGGAAGTCTTACCACTGGCTCTCTGCCCAATAGTGCCTGTTCATCATTGTAGCCCTCACTCTACACTGCTGCCCAGGAAAGCTGACCTCCCAGACTGCTCAGGTGGCCCGATTACATGCTCCTTAGGACTGTGCTGCTCTTCATGGTGTCACTGAGCACAGCTACGATTCGTATTTGTTCTGGGATTTCTTGTTCACTCCCCATCTCCTCTACTGTAAGTTCCACGGGGACAAGGGCACTGATGTTTTATTTTTTCATTCCACTTAGTTTCTAGGGCCTATCACAGTGTCTGGTCTGCAGTGGACATTCAACAAGTATTTCGTTGAGTCAGTTCACAAATTTACTAGCTATATGACTGCTAAAATGGAGGTAAACAATGATAGTTAGACACTAAGTTACTGACCTCCTTACGGAGTTATAAGGACCTGATAAAATATTAGAAGAAACATGGAGGAACCAGTAGATGGTATAGCGGTTACATTGCTAGACTCCACATGGTTGACTGTGAGTGCCAGACCTGGCAGTGTAAAGCTCACACCAGGCATATGTGCGTACGTGTCTAAAATCCTGAGAGGAGAATGGAGGAGAAGGGGTTGTGGCATGGCCACTCCCCTGGGGGTGATTCCTCGCTTTCGGTCTCTCCAGCCAGTGCATGTGCCCAATAGCAAACATTTCTCTCAAAAAAAAAAAGAAAAAAAAGAAACATGGAAAATGATAAAGCATATAAATGATTAGTGATGTTTACGAACTTAAATATAAACAAAGACAAAACCACATAAGATCTTTAGACCAAGTATTAGCCAAGAAAATATTTCCAGAGTACATCTCAGGAGTCAAAGGGATACCTGTGAAAAGCACCGGTAAGACAGGCTACACCGGCTAATGACATTTAAGACTCCTCGTCCTTATAAACCGTCAATGTGGAGAATCTTAGGCAGAGTTTCCCACCCATGAACCTATACAATTGCAAGCCCCGTTCTCCTTACCTGGTCGTGCTGCTCCTGCTTGCTGTAGATGGCTGACAAGAGGCGATAGCATTCCAGGCAGCCGGCCTCCTCCGACACAATGCGACTGGTCATCTTTTCAGCTTCTTTAGTCTGACCCATCACAGCCAAGACCTGAGCCTGCAAAACCACAGGGACCTTGGCTTAGAAGACACTTCCTTATTATCTTATCAAAGCAAATATTCCTGCATAGAGACATTCAGGAAACACTCTGGACAAAAAATGTTCAGCATCCATTCAGTGACTCACAGAGAAGGCTGAACTATCAGTTTTTTGGTTATTTTTTTTCCTTCCTATTTGTCTGTTTCTTTATTTAGGTATGTGTATACATTTGTGTGTGACTGGCAGGAATAGCAAAGCTAGCCAATGAATTGGCTTGTGCCATTTCAAAAAAAGTTGACTATATGTCAGCAGAGAAGTAATTTTCTATGATGTCAATAAGACACTGTGTTTGTAAAAGAAAAGACAAGTTTGCTTTATTGTACATCTAAGGAAAAGGACCACTGAATTTTGAACATTAAGATAAAACGGTCATTGATATTTATGTTACTATTCCTGAGTCTCATACATAGTGTGCTTGTTAGCAAATGTTCTTATTCTTAGTACCGCATGTGGAATTACTTAGACATAAAGGGACAATATCTGTAACTCACTCTTACAAGGCTCTTAAAAAAGAATTAATCGGGACTGGCAGATGGCATAGTAGTTACATTATTGGACTATTACATGGATAATCAAGGTTCAAGTCCCAGACCCAGTGGCTTGAACGTCATGTTGGACACATGTATATGCATGCCCAAGATCTCAGGAGGAGAAGGGATTGCGGTATGGCCATACCCCCTGGGGGGTGATTTCTTCTTTCCCTCTCATTGTCTCTGTCTCTCCCTCCTTCTCTCTGATGAGCACACACACCCCGTGGCAAAACAAAACAAAAAACACCCTTGTAAAATAGGTATATACCAATATTCATATGCATAGATCTAAATGTGTGTATATAAACATGTAATTATATGCACAGAAAAATGATGAACAAATACATCACAATGTTATAAGTTGATGGATATGGGTAAAAAGACATTATGGGAGAGTTTTACTATTCTAGTAACTTTTTTGTAGATCTGAAATGATCTCAAACAAAACCAAGTATTTTTGGTATCCGTGTCTTTGATGAATAGCTCTAACAATGGTTCCGTGATTAACTTGTACGATGAATAGATTATAGACCTGCAGCTCCAGTTTTGAGGAGGCTGACGATGACAGCCTCCTACATTCTATGTTGTACTTATGTTCCCAGCTTCGTTTTCTTTTGTCTTCAACCCACCAGTGCCAGGCGGAGCTCCCTTTGAGAAGGCTGAAGTGCTGCGGCTTCCCGGTAAATCTGCAAAGCCTCTTCATATCGGCCAGTGTTGTAGTACAGAGCTCCCAGAGGTGACAGGATCTCGGCTTTGTGCGCCACCTGCAGGGCACTAAGTTTGGAGAAAGGCTCATTGACACTCTTCCACTAGATACATTTCCCAATGTCTAAACTTAGATTTAGGAGGACTGTTCATGGTTTGAAATTCTACTCCACCATAATTTTTTTTAAAAAAACAAACAAAAAACCCCCAAACAATCATGAGGCTGCCCTACCAATATGAAAACTAAACTTTGAAAATATTTCTTACTAAAGGTGATGCATTTGTTTCGATTCATGGACAGTATTATTTATTCCCATTTTTGAAATTGCAATTTGAAGTTCAAGTTGTAGTCCACTAAAAAAACAACACGCTAACGAACATGAGAATTAAATTTCAACCTTGTTTAGCACTGTTGTCTGATGAGAGGATAAAGGTCATTAATTGGGATACCACTTATACTCTTGGATAGTTTTTGTTTGTTTGTTTTTTTGGAGAGGTGAATGAGTTTCATATAAGTTGGCAAAATTTCCTAGAATTCTGAGGACACGCTTGTTCCAATTAACTAAAAGGTTGATGGGGAACTGTTGAAGTCTTTGAGCAACTTTCAGAATGAAAAATGAAATTACCGTTTGTACCATTCTTCAGCCATGCTGTTCTCTCCCAAAGACCTGTAGAGTCTCCCCAGGTTGACCATGGCCACATGATGACTTGGGCTAAGTTTGATGGCCTCTTGGTAATGGGCTACTGCCTTCTCTGGAGAACCTGTGGCCAGTGAGGGGTTGGGAAGAGCAGAGCATGCCTTCATTATCCAATACATGGGCTTTGCCGTTTCTCTCCTTTTTAAAATTAATTTACTTTCTAATTGCCAGAGAGAAAGAGGGATAGAGGGATAGAGAAAAAAGGAGAAAGCACTCCCCAGAGAGGTGTGGTCACGCCACAATCCAGTCTCTAGATCCTGTCCGCATTTAGGACACATACACAAACATCCTCGCATGCTTTTCAAGCCACTGGCACTAACCATGGTTGGACACGTGGGATCTAGCTTCCTTAACCCCTAGGCTAATGGACCCAGTTTGTTTTTTCTTCCGACACGTATAATTTTTCTTCATTATTATAGTCATACCATGAATGATTCGGTTTGCAAGTCAAATCAGATTCTGGCTTCTTTCACTATTCATTCATTCCTCCAAAGAAATGAATAATTTTAGATAAGCAGTAAACACTGAGACCTATTTCTTTTATGATATTTATTATTTTAATCATAGTACTTCCTGGTAATTGCCCTTGCTAATATGATGTTTTGAGAGGATCCATGATTTATCCAAGATATAGCTGCCTCTCATTATACAAAAAACAGAATAGGCTATTAGAGAAAGAAAACTATCTTGGAAGCAATGTCTAAGGGTCTATCTCAGTTACTAAACTGAAATATCATAATTGAGGGAATGCTTTAAACAAGTCTACGTCAGCTCTATCTTGAAAGTCTCCTTTTAAATCACATATTTTTGTTTAAATGGCATTTATGTAATGGGACTTATAATAATAACACCACCTTGAATTTGTCCAATGTGTGTATGGGTCTGTGTGTGTGAATTTATACACTTGTAAAAAAATTTCCAGAGGGCTTATGTGCTCCCCAGATAGGAAAATAGAAAAAGAGAGAGAACGAGCACCCTTCATTGGGGTGTGGCGTGCCACAATCTTTTTTCTCCCATTTCCTCATTCCATCAGGATTCTAGGCTCTGGTATACATGGGCCTGGTATATTTTCAAGCTAGTGGGGCTGGGAGTTGAGTAACAGTTTGCCATGTGGGATCCAGCTCCAGATGCACAAGGCTCAACTGTTGCACTACCAGACTGGCCCAGATGCATTGTTTCTAACATACTTTTATTTATATTATCTTTGCAGATATTTTTGATACTACTTAGCTGCCTTTTTATACCACTTAGCTGCCTATTGGGGTTTAATTATATATATCTCCTCTTGGGATCTTGGGCACGCATGCACACATGCCCAGTGTGAGTTTAAGCCGCAGGGTCCAGGACTTGAACCACGGTTGACTACGTGGGAGTCCAGCAACACAGCCATTATACTAACTGCTGGTCCCAAAGACATATATATAGCACCTTAACCACCACGCCACCTGCTGGCCCCAAAAGATATTTTAAAAATAAAATTACTACTTTACAGATACAGATACTGAAGTCATTATGACATTAAAAGACTTGAAAAAGATCCTAGGACAAGTGAGGGTAAAGGTCAGAACTGTAATCAAGTCTTTCTAGTCTGATAAGATTCCCCAAAGAAGCTTCTAAAAATTAAATCAACGTGATTGAACTTTAGAACATTATGAAGTGCTAAGTGGAATGGAATGTTTATCATCTATACAGAAATCTTCCCAAGTGTACCCGGGTTGAGTTTGACTAGAAGGTACTGAAAGAGACTCTATCTCATTTAGGGTCAGTGAGTTGTTGACATTTTTTTGTGGCATGGGGTAGGACTGTTTGTTGTTGAAGAAAAAGAAGAGGGTTAGACCTGGCTAACTCGAGGTTACTAATTTTTTTTTTTAAATAATTATTATTTTATTTAACTTATTTATCCATTTATTTATTTCAATTTAACTAGAGAGGGAGAGAGAGAAAAAGAGAGAGAGAGAGAAACAGAGAGAAAGTGAGAAAGCAAGCCGTCAAGTCCGGGACTTGAACCATGGTAGGCCATGTGGGGAGTCCAGCACCCTTAACCACCACACCACCTCCCAGGCCCCACTTCCTTTTTTAAAAAATCTTGATGAAATTTTCATTTATTATTATGTAGCTAATGAGCCAGCAGGTGGCACTACACAACAATTTTACTTGGAAACGTAAGGCAAGTTTCCTAAATGTATCAAAATATAAATTTACTGTATATTCTATGAAACAGAAGAGCTTCAAATACCCTAGAAAATTAAAACTCTTTCAAGCATTTCATATTGAAAAAATAATTAAAACTGAATTCTACTGTAGCGCAGCCAATCCAGCAGTCAATAAGCACAAAGTGGTGCTTTTGCATTAAATGCAAATATCCTTCCATTACTTCGAAGTATTCATTACATGACAACAGCATCTGGGGCTCTGCACAAATCATAAAGAAAACAGAATCCCCGCCTAGGAATCTTTTGCATTAAACAGGATGAAGCAGGTATATTTCATATAGCACCTGTCATACAAGAGCACTATATCAATGATGATAATACAGTTTCTGTAATACGCACCAGGGAAAGGAACAACGAAACCATTCTGAAAGTTTTAAAAATCAGTTCCAGGAAAGTACTTACCATCTGCTGGTAGCTACATTCAGAGGAAGGTTCTGCATCATTATAGAGGAGCAGTCATCATGATAGATTTATAAGCTTGTATATAAATGATTCTTAAAGAACACCAGGACTCATGAAATCGTCAAGGCTACTTCCGGCCACTTAGGGAGCTTTCCTTACTGCATGATTCTAGGAACCGGCAGATTTTACTGAACTGAGCTTAAACATTTAAGAGCTCTCAGAGCACAAAGGTACAATGTGACTGTCAGTAGTATGAGTTTCCTGCCAAACCCAGTGAAAGTTAACTTCTGAGGGATTATTTGCACCACTGCCATTTTTCTTGATAAACATAGCATTATGGAATAACAATACAACAGTTTCCTTGCACTTTCACTTACCAGAATCGACTAAGAAAACTCCATAGTTGTTGTGTAAATCTGAGCTGTCTGGACAATTCTTTATTCCAGCCAGGTATATTTCTTCAGCTTCCTTAAATCTCTCCTACAAAAGACAACAATAACAAAAAGTAAATGAGAAAGTTTTTTTTTTTTTTTTTTAAAAAAGCAACCGTATACTGAATATGGGGAGTGTGAAGGCAGAAAAATATTTACTGAACTCTACAGTAGGCACTGAGATAAAATACTATGTACTTTGCCTGAATTAAAGTCAATATTAACTGTGCATAAATAGCTACAATTCATATCTGCGTTTTGTTTCTTTAGGGCAAACAAAGTTATGTCTATTAAAGTGTGAAGACAGAAAAATATTTACTGAACAGCTACTCTACAGTAGGCACTGAGATAAAATACTATGTACTTTGCCTGAATTAAAGTCAATATTAACTGTGCATAAATAGCTACAATTCATATCTGCGTTTTGTTTCTTTAGGGCAAACAAAGTTATGTCTATTAAAATGGAATATCTGGAAGGATTTGGACCTGTACAACATGCTCTATTATTGGAAAAGGTCTGAAAACAGCTGTTTGAATGGGATGCCCATTACCCCATAAACTTTCCAAATGCGAACAGGTGATAGAGAATGAGAAAGTATGTGGTTAAGGATGCTGGACTCCCACATGGCCAATTGTGGTTCGAGTCCTGGACCTGGTGGCTTGCTTTCTCACTTTCCCTTTCTCTCTCTCTTTGGTCAAATTAAGAAAATAATAATAACAAATAAAAATCTAAAAAATTCCTAAAAGAAAAAATGAAAATGGTAGCATGTTTTGGGAGGCAGCAATCTGGCTGGAAGGGAGGTCTAGAGGATTTGTCTGAGGGCCGCATTTACTTATGGAGTAATCTTTCTACCTGCACAGCATAGTTTGTTGTGGGAAGTTTTGAGAGAAGTAGGAAGGGGAGGCTGGCACAGATTTTGAGAAGGGCTCTGCCCTACCCTTTTCCTTACTGGAAATAGCCCCATCGACCCCAAACAGTTCGCTACTTCCTTTCTTCAGTGGCTTTCATCTCTGAGCTGTTCCCTCCAACAGAATTGTGAGCATTAAGAGCAAACCTCCAAGTTTGCTGCCCTCTGCTCCTCTAAGGATTTACCTCCACACACTGCCGTACTTCTGAATGAGCTGTTCGGCATATTTTCCACGACCAGCTGAAAGCATCACATTACACTTTCTTTTATAATATAAAAGATAAAATTGAATGAATCGATCAAAGCTTCCCAAGGTCTAAGAATTATTTGCCCACAAGTAAACATTTCCATCTTTTCCTGGTATTGCTGCACAGGTTAAGTACAAGAAAAGATTTGGCACAAAAGAAACCTGCGAGTTGGGACCAGCAGTTAGCGTAATGGCTATGTTGCTGGACTCCCACGTAGTTGACCACAGTTTGCGTCCCAGACCCGGTGGCTTAAAACTCACGCCGGGTGCTTGTGTGTGCGTGCCCAAGATCCCGAGAGGAGAATGGAGGAGAAGGGATTGCGGCGTGACCATCCCCCCTTAGGGGTGATTTCTCGCTTTCTGTCTCTCTGTCTCTCTCTGTCTGCCTGGCAAGCGCACATGCCCTATAGTGAAAACCTCTCCAAAAAGAAAAAAAAGAAACCTGCAACTTTTCCTTTACTAGGCTGTGGTCTGAACATTTTCTAAAACTCTGTCTCAAGTTATTGCTAGTGAGAATTCAATGAGACATATCAAAAGGGAATGTAGAGCAACGATTTCCTCAGATAGGACACCTTAAGGTGTGAGTAAAAATGGGTTGTGGGGAACCAGCAGTTAGCGTAATGGCTATGTCGCTGGACTCCCATGTAGTCAACCGCGGTTCGTGTCCCGGACCTGGTGGCTTAAAACTCACGCTGGGCGTGTGTGCGTGCGTGCCCAAGATCCCGAGAGGAGAATGGAGGAGAAGGGATTGCGGCGTGGCCATCCCCCTGGGGGGTGATTTCTTGCTTTCTGTCTCTATGTCTCTCTCTGTCTGTCTGGTGAGCGCACGCGCCCTATAGCGAAAATCTCTCCAAAAAAAAAAAAGGGGCTGTGTACTCACATTGCTGAGAAATAAGCCAAGAAGCCGATATCTGATTTGACCCAGACAGGTAACAGGTATTTACTCTCTGTGAAATGACCAGTGCCATGTTTGAATCCACACATTTAAGTACCATCAGGGAACGAGGTGTGGTTTGAACTTGGCAAATTCCACTTATTTGAATTACCAATCCATAGCCCAGCAAAAGGGGATCCATGTTTCTAAAATATATGTTTTTTTAATGGCCACACTCAACAAATTGTCAAGCTAAAAAGAAAGCTAAAGATAAATACAAGTCATATAGTATTATTTAATAGCCATGAAAAGCTGTCCAAAAAGTGTTCACTGGGGACCCCTAGGGTCCAAGAAGGTCTGTGCAGTTTTCCTGACAGTACTGAAGTAAGAAGTAATTGGCCCTTTTACTCTCAGGCTCTCAGGAATGTCTAGTAGCTACACAACGAAAAGGCTATTTAAATTCTCTGTTCTTTTCTGACTAAATAACTGTACAATACCAAGTTTTCTTCACATTCTCCCAGACAAAACCAAAAATACAAACAAAAAAAAATATAAAAACAGCATTTTCTTCCTCAAGACAAAAAAATATGAAAGTATTATCCATGGAAGGATAGACAACTTCATGTCTATGTGAGAAATAAATGAACACAGGCAGAAAAAATGATATAACACTGTAATCAAGTTAATATTTAGAGAATACCATTTGGGGCTTTATTCATTCAGCCTGCATTTCCTGCAACAGCTATGGGAACTATGGCATGATGATTAAGAACTGGGCTCCCAGGGCTTGACTACATGAATTCAAACTTCACTCCACCATTCTGCATGACCTTCATTATCCCAACTATAAAACAGCAGTACTGACCACAGAAGGTAGTTGCAAGAATTAGATGGATGAAAACATGTGTGACACTTAAAACAATGCTTAGTGGGGCCGGCAGGTGGCATAGTCATTAAGATGATGAACTTCCACATGGCTGACCGTGGTTCAAATACTGGACCTGGTGGGTTGAAAAATCACACCAGGCACATGTGTGTGCACGCCTAAAATCCAAGAATGGAGGAGAATGGATTGTGGTGTGGCCATTCACCCTGGGAGTTGATCTCTCACTTTTCCTCTCACTGTCTCTCTGGTGAGCACATGTACCTTATGGCAAAATCCTTTAATGCTTAGCACACATTCAGCACTGTGTGTCCAGAATCCTGATGGGATGGAGACAGGGAGAAAAAGATTTCAGTGTGACCACACCTCATTGGAAGTATTTTCTCTTCATCTGACAAGCACACATATCCTCTGACAATTAAGGGGTGGGGGGAGGAGGCAGTACTTCTGGAAATGACACCCCTAGCATCAAAAGAAACAATTATACTTTTGGATATTGATTCATCGATTCTTTTATCCACTCAACCTCTCAAAAAATATTTTATGACCACCATCCATGCGCCATGGATATGGCAGAAACAGAATAATGAAGACATAATCCCCGCCCTCACAGAGAGCTGAGTGGGATTCAGACAAAGAGGGGGCATTGTGGTGTAGGTGTCTGTGCCACAGGGAGAGAAATGCAAGGCATTTGGGAGTCAGTCAGGAGCAGCACCCAGCCCGGGGTGAAGGAGAGGTTCTACATCCGTCATGACTCAAATGCTCAAGAACACTGGTTACCATGGACTTGGACAGCTGTGTGACATAGAGACGTGTTTGAAGAAAGTCTGCTGCCTGAGATCTTCAAATCCCCTTTATACCAAACTGCGTGAGGAGAAAGGGGGTTTTCCTGAAAGGAATACAATGGATGTCCTCACAGTCTCAGTTGCTGAAGTCGAATACAATGGTAATCAACAATTTGGAGTGTGATTAGTGTTTTACTGAATCTATTTTTAATTTTATTATGCTTTCTTACTGCTCCAAAATAGGCAAAGAGATGACTTTTTCTATTTAAAACTTCTTTCTTATTTTGGAGTTTTAAAGCTGAATTTCTGGGGCCAGCAGGTGGCATAGTGGTTAAGGAGCTAGACTCCCAAGTGACTGAAGATGGTTTGAGTCCTGGTCCTGGTGGCTAGTTTTCTTGCTTTCCCTCTCTCTCTCTGGTTTCTCTCTGATCAAATTAAAATAATAATAATAACAAATCAAGTTGAACAGATAATTCTAAGAAAAAAAAAAGCTGAGTTTTCTTAAACATCAACAGCACTAATCAGATACAGAAAAAAAGACCCACTTATATCTGAAGCTGAATTGTGTATTTTGGCTCTTTTCGTTTCTTTGGCTGGTGAGGGAGATATTTATTTTTTTACTTGGAGATGGAATTATTTTGTAGTTTAGTGCAAATGTCCCACTGAAAGCCATTCAAATGTCAACAAGATCATTTCAGGGTAAAACAGAAAAAAATAAAACAAAACACCAAAAATGGAGTTTCCACTGGAAATGTAGTTTTCTTTTTATTTTGAAGAATAATTTAATTTTATTTACTGTTGTTATTTTATAATTTGCTATAGGACACATGTGCTTATCAGAGACAGACAGAGGGGCTAGGGCTGGGGGAGTGGGAAAGCAAGCGCCAGGTCTGGGACTCGAACTGTGGTTGGCCATGTGGGAGTCCAGCGCCTCAACCACCACACCAACTGTCAGCTTCAGAAGTACAGTTTTCAAAGTCCAAACAAGTAATGGATTTAAAAGATCACAAATGTCAAGACCAAGTCATCACAATCCTGTATCTTCAGTGACATCCAATGGCAATGTCAAAGCTCTATGAAAAACAGCTTCAATATTTGTGTCTTCCTTTCACTTGATTCTTAATTAAAGGAATGACTAACACTACTTCTGAAGAAAATGACTTATGAAGAATTACTCCTTCAGAGGTAAAAATACCTTATGGATGTTGAAAATAAATGCTGCCATCTCTGGAAGGGTGATGTATTTACCTTAATTAGTAGTAGTATTTAATGCCAAAAGCTCAGTTTCAAGCACTCCCTGTCATTTGTCTCATCTGGGTAGAAGTTCTGAACTAAGCAGGATCATTCCTAGT